TTTAATCTAACAAAAGAGTTCATGGCTCACTGAGGTTTATGGCGGCTAGATCCTTACAGATCGTCGACCAACTGCCGTAGACTCATGTCCTTGATGCCTCCTCCTAACGAACGCTGAATGGGATTTGGGTTGCATCCTTCTTCTACCTAGGAAGGCAGGACACAATTCCGTGTCAGTCAGTTCAATGACACATGGTGCAGTGCCAGTTGTCTTTCGATGTGTACATTTTATCGAAGGCATTAGCTGATGAGCCGAGGCGTCCTCCTGTCAGGTGGGAGTGGTGAAAGTGCAAGCCAATCATCGTCCCTCTGTAGGCGCAGGCATCCTGTGGTTTCATCATGGGAGGCCGAAAGGAAAGGTGAATAGGGAACCCAATGTCGCCAACCATGTAACAAACCGCCAAACTCCTGCTGCCCTACAGTGTGCAACAGCCGGGGAAGGATGAGACTGCAGTTTGGTGACATTTTCATGGTTGTGTGTGTGTTAGGTGGATATTGAAGAATGTCAAAGCTTGGACAAAGATTTCGGTTTAGAACCCAAATCACTCTCCCGTCAAGGCCCGAGCAAATTGAGAGTATTCGGCTCACGCAGCACAACGAACACCTAGCCGAATTCACGAGGATTATAAACAGTGCCTTAACTGCTACAACGGGCAGAATAGACAGTGGTGAGAATATCACTGCGCAGACCTCCCCGTCTCCTTATACCCTATATGCATTATTATCCTTATTGTCACGTCCCAACTTCACTTTTATTCGCCTATTCATTCCAACCCAAAAATCTTGGTTCTTCGACTACCTGATTTGATAAGCAATAGCAAGACGGCGTACCATCCCACTTGACAAGTCCATACCAAAAATAAATCGGAATCCTCAACTCATCCGGATGCAGCTGGAGTTTAAGATCCTCGCTATGAGTAATACGCCTCAACATACGCATTTTGTTGCATATTGTTCAAAAGGTAACACATGTCTGAACACTTGAGAGCTCATCAACCGATCTCTTCTACTTACAGGAAGCCCGATTGTACATTGTGCTCTATCTACGACCCATATATGTGATAAATGCTGCAGTTTCTCACAATTTCCATCCAGGGATAACGCTTATTCGAATGTCGGTAAGCCGGTGAAGTCACAGATCGCAGCTCCCGGGCTGAAGCTTCCCTGATTGACTGCGTCCTAACCATCAGCTGAATGTGCGCAGTCAAAGCATCGAAGTCGAGCGAAGTTAGTACGTGCCTAAATATGACGGCTGACTACACCCGTTCGCATTGTAGCATTGATTCCAAGAATGATTACTTCGATCGCCAAATGAAGGAACTTCGTCACAGAAGAACCACGGATAGTGTAATGCTGGTTGGGGATCTGAACAGAAAGTCTGAAAAATTGTCCACTGATCAGCTGTATTCGGGCGGCCAACACGGTGTAGGATCATCTAGGAACTAACTTCCAACACAGTAACCGATGGACGGTAATATGGTGCCTATTGGCCTAGGGCCAGACATGAACACAAATATATTAGTTTGCGCACAGCTAGCGTTGGGGGGGGGGGGACTGCGTCAGAAATCGCCCCCAACTTTACCAGTGACTGCCTCGACATCGTCCCCGGATACGTCCAACCAACAGCGAGAGGACAAGCCAGGCGCAGCTAATTCAACAATCCCATTAGGGTCATTGATCCTAGTTGCGCACACACAAGAATATCCAGCGTATTCAATGTGCGTGGGAGTGTAGCCTGCTAACTCACTTGTGAACGCTGAACACCGCCAAAAAATGGGAAACCGTGGCCTTATAAGGAGCTGTTGCCAATAGGCGACCAGTGGGTAGCGGTAGATAGTGTGACTCCAGTGGCATTGTGAGTGCCATCACTTTCGCTGGGAATAACAGAAGGAAGGACAGTAATAGGGATCGGGAGGGCAGTAGGATGAACAGGTGGAAACGAAAGAAGGAGGGTGCTAACAGTAGTATGCTTTCCTTTATCTGCTACACAAACTGCAACAGATAAGTCGACCCTTGATAAGTTGGGCGACGGCCGATGCAGGATGTGGTTAAAATTTGAGATAATAATGGTTGTACTTGAACTGAGATACTGTCAGGGCGCGCAGACCTAAACACGAGGACGATAGGGATCCCCAACCAAAGCCTGCTCACAAGACACCGGGGAAGTGACAATGGGTTTGGTTTAACAGAAACAGATGTCACACCACTTTCAAACCCCAACCTGGAGGATTAGGAAACTGAATTTGTGGAGTAGGAGTAGCTATCGAGGGGCCCGGGGTACCACCCAGTATGGCTAAATGGGTCGAAGAGTTACGCAATCCACTGAGTTACCTTAAGGTTCAGTCTCACTGCGATAACTTGGCTGAGAACAATGAAGGCCCCTACTTCGACGCTGGCCTTGGTTTGAGCCTCTAGGCTTCTGGTTGGGGTCTAAAAGGCGATGAACACGTTTGACTGGATACACTTGCTGACATGGCTAGGAATCGACCTCAATAGAGTTCCTGTTGAGTTTCTTCGTCCATCCTCATGCCACTTAGCCTCCCCTACCAACCGCCATCGCAGTTGTTAGCATAATAAAAAATTATGCTTAATAAAATTTTCGCTGCATAGTAGCCGGCTGGTAGCTTACCGGAACGATATCCATCTGGTATTTGTCGTTCAGTTGGTGTGTACGTGTTGTATGGTGCCTTTCTTTGCTTTTCTTATGTATTGCGGCACAGCAGTCGAGGTGTTTTCCACCTCCAGCTAAGGTGTATAATGAACGATGATGATTCGCTGCGACGATCTGGTGCAAAAGTCAAGCACCAGGTACCGACGGCTGGGCCGTGTGTGACGGACGTCAGTCCATCGACTCCCGCGACGTGCATTGTGTGAGCGACCGGGGTTTGGATGGAATAAGAGCAAGAGAGCCCAACCAATGAGTTAATGAAGAAAAATGGAGGCCCTCAATTGAAGTTGGCATCGTTTAATGCCTCGCAACCACCAGGCTGGGATCCCTATGACGAGGAACAAGCTTGATTGGAGACACTTGTTGATATGACCAAGATAAGACTTTAGTGGAGTTTGTGTCCAGAGTTCCCTTGCTTCTCCACTAACCGCCTAGCCTCGCTCTCCAAACACGATCTTACTACTAGTGCATAATGAAAATGAAACATAACACAGTGTACACTGTTTCTGCTATCAGCTTGTTTATTCTTTCACGGCTGTTAGTGTGACATCATGAGGCACCATAGATGATGCATTCTCATCTCCATCTAACATGAATGCTAATGGTAGAAGAGAAACAAACAAATGTTCAAAGTAGACACTCAGGACCAGGACACTGGGACCTTATGAACATTTGACAATGACTAGACCCCACTATGATCATTGCGTGCCCAGTGGCAATGATCAGGAGAAATCCCTTCCTGACGCTACAGTCGTCGTATAAAAGAGAATGTAGTTCCAGCTTTCAAAAGACATGATCCGACTTTACCAGTCGTGAGGCGACTTGAGTAACCGGATCCAGTTCCTCGTCCTGCCGGATCAAGAGGTTATCATCAAATGGATCGTAGCTCAGCGCATCCCGGCTCCGTCCAAGAGAAGTCGGTGGTGGACTGGAGTGAGATCACTGTACTGCTATACACTAGAAAAGCAAAGTCGGACATTGATGGAACAACGTCATCGTACAGGTGTGGATAACTCATCAGAATCGATCGATGGACCGCAATCGAAAGACGCAGTGGTAAACCGGTACTCCCTTGGTTTCAAAATAGCACAACTTTATAATTAGCAAATGATCGACGTAGTTGCAATAAACTCTTGCCACTGTTTTTGAGTCTGAAGTACCCACCTAATCAAACTTCCACGTAGGTCAGACAATCAATGCGCGGATTCATAAACACATGATACACACTGTGTCGGAAGCGCAAAGCAGTACCATGCTGTAGTAGAAAAGGCGTGAGGTAGAAAAGGGATTGCAGTTGGTTGTATCGAAAGCAATCAGCACATGCATGCGGTGTCTAATGTCACTCAAAGCCGAAACTTAATACACGCTGGGAAACGTGTTGCACACGGAGGAATGTTCCCGTAAAACCAACTAATCGACAACGATTCGGGACACAAAGCCAAGAAGGATGACCAATCCAGCGGCGTCAGTATCTCCAGAAGCGTGTGTCCAATAAAAACAGCATAAGCCAGATGAAGTTGCTTCGATAACTATATCGGTTCTGAACATAAGCTACGCAGGCGCAGTGCACGTTAAGCTATAACGTATTCAGTGTGCTCGCAAAAACAGTCCGCCGATCTAACAGTGTAACTGATTGAAGTCGAACGGCCTGGCAAGAAGTTGCTGATGACGTGAGTGCACTGTAGATGGAAGATATTCAGCAGTACCGCGGAAACCACCGCGCTGGGGTCTACAGAAGGCAGGAAGTAATGGAACGGAGTAATAAGAGAAGAAAGGAGAGCAATAGAACAGAAGTAGTTTTGTTAAGCTTATCTGTTCTACTGATTGTAACCGATAAGGTGGCTTTTTTTGACACTGCGAAGGTCGATGCAAGATGTGACTGAAGTTTGATGACTCATGTTTGTGTACGTGGGCTAGCATACTGCCAGATGTCTGACATTAGACAAGAGGACGATTAAAGTTCTCAACCGAAATCGCTAGCTGAAAAGCTTGATTACGAAATAACGCGAAATGAGAATGGTACACAAGATGGCCTAATTTCACCGATATGAGTGATATGAAAATTTCAATCCCCTACCAAAAAGGGAGAAGATTAAGTCTGAACAGCCCCAAAACAATGTGGTAGGAGTGGCGCCTAACAAGTAGTAAAGTTCGTTGCAGCGGAGGTGGTTGCAAGCAGCAGACTTAGATAAATCCAAATTCAGGACCACGCGATGCAACCTTACATGTTCTGTACCTTAATCAGACCTGTAAGGTAGGTTGTAGAAAGCAGTATGCAGATAACTAGACAAAATCTAAGAAACAATTAAAACCGGGAGTGACACAAAGCGTACCTGTAATTCGGAATGAGGGCCCAGAGTGTGGTCGTCGGGGAAAACATGTAAAGTGGTGTGCTCCTCCGAACCGGGTCTCACAGGCCCAAAACGGAGTGACCACTTTCCCATGTTGACCACCTGAAAGTGACAAACGCAGAACGTAATATGATGGACGTCACTTAAAATACAGTAGAAAACGCGACAACTAACTTCAACAGAGAACCATCGACACGCAGGCAAAACGAGTAAGTGCGCGGTAGAACTCAAGCGGTTGCCTGAATGAGGCGGTAAGAAAAGCGGGTCTGAAGCGGATACTTAAAAATCGAAAACGAAAGGATAGGCAAATAGCAATAACTCACGTATTGAGCGAAGAAAACAAAGTAAACGATCACGCAAAGCGACAATAGAAAACCCTGTCAAGTAGTTAGAGCGAGAGGTAGCTACAGAGAACAAAGGGAGCAATATAACTTATCACGAAAAAACGATTCACCTGGCTACAGCATAACCATCTGACAGAACAAACAGTGACAGTATGTGGCATACGGTAAGGACGGTATATGGTGGTTCAACTGACAGTTGTCGTTCGTAAGGTATGACGGTAACATCCAGGGATGGCGGATTTGTATAACCATGAGAATTCAGAAACGGAAAAATATATACGCTCGAGCAACGACACCCATTTAGAAGAAAGGACCAAACTGTGGAAGGCGTGAAAAAGGGAGATTTGCACAATATTTGCTCATCAGGCTTGCTAGGGATAGAAAACGTCGTGGTGCCCAAAACGGAAACTGTGGGCGGTATGCGAATGAACAAAACACACCGTACTGGCTGTATAATGGAAGAAAAATGTCAGAGGGAGAGGCTAGTTGGAGGGACGATCGGATCAGCACACATATTCAGGTTTTCTCAGCAACGGACTGATGAACAAGCGTGGTCATACGAGAGGATAATGGTGAGAACAACTGACTGCAGATGCAACGCAACATAAAGAAATAGGTAAACTCTGTAAATATTTGACTCGTACGAAATTCGAAGCCGGTGTCCAAAGTCAGTGGAAACACAAGACCGCACGTTGAATTTCCCCTGATTTGTACTATGCAAGAAATAAGCATGTAGACAGAACCGTGGCATCTCGCTTGCAAGCATTCAAGTTTTGCGCAATATATTCAGGTGTTCGGTTGAATCGCATAAGTAGAAATCCAAGTGTAAATGAAACAAAAGACAATCGGAGCTCAACATAAGTTCACATGGACTACAGTTATCGAGGTATCTGTCTGCGTTTACACGAGGATGGTTAGCATAGGATGTCTGTAAGTTTTACAATTTCAAGAGGGAGAATTTGTTTTGAAGAATTACATGAAGAGCACAGCAATGTCAAGGTTTTAGGAACAGAAATGGATGATTAAGAGAGATAAACGCCATCAATGACACAACAAAAACTACTAAAGCCCTCACTGCAACGCGATGCGATGCATCTGGTCTGGATTAATAGAATACGACTATCATAGGAGTGCAAAAACAGGTTTGACAAAGTAGACAGCCTAAAGGCCATATTACATCGGAGTTAAAGCAGGTGGGTTATACAGATGATAATCCCGATGGCTTATTGTGGTTGGATCTAGAACGCTACGAAACCGCAATATACTGCCCCGCTGACGGAGAAAAAGGGCGCATTCCATGTGTGAAGCAAGTTGGTATTGAGCGGTGAGGTGGTAGGGATCAAGGAATCGAAACGAAGAACTAAGCTACATCATTCCGAATAAAATCGTCACGGTAACAAATTGTTGTTAATAAGCCCACATACGCTTAGCTTAAAAAGATCATAGTATCTAGTTTAATCCTCAGCGAGAAGTGAGAAACACTCCAGAGAGGAAAATAAAAAAGAAACGCACAATATGAGAAGCACGAAGGTCAGATTTTGGTCATATCAACTGTTACCCTAAACCGAAATCAGAACAACAGTATTGCAAATGGAAGTTTAGTAGAAGCAATGGCAATAGTACCTCGGCAGTCCACACTGGGTACAAGATCAACTGTTTAGTTTTACTCAGTTCACATGTTTTAGCCAAGCACTCGCACTAGCGCGCACAATGCAGCTCCACAGGCTAGGTAGTGTAGCATGAGCTTGACGCGCTCAACGTCTGTATCATCAACAATTGCCTCCAAGCAAGTGCGTTCAACGTCCTTGCCTGAAAGTAAACAGGCACAAACCGACACCAAGTTGGAAGTGAGGACCATCATTTTTCTTGACCATGTCTTCAATTGGCCTCTCCTTTGGTTCCCTCTAAACCCCGATCGCGCACACAACGCACGTTGCGGGAGTCGGTGCGCTAGAATGCGTAACACAGCCCAACCATCGAAGCTTAGGGCGTAAACTAATGTTGCCAAGCAATTCACCTTTTCATCATGTGCTATATAAGAGATAACGAACACGCCCAGTGTTCAAACGGTGATCCCACTAGTCATCAGCCAAATTGTGAGTCGACCGGTAGCGGACGCAACAACTTTCTTTATGTCCGTCGATCGGAGGAGCCATATTTCACAACCGTACGGAAGAATTGAACGGACAGCTGCAATGTATACTCTGTTCATCAGGGCGAAATTGATGTAGCTCCGGCATCACAATTAGAGAAGAAAAGCCAAATCAACATGAGCTTTCGTCATCTGGTTGGTCACCGCATACTCTATATGCACCAACATAGATGACTGCTAACGGAGCCCAACCAAAGGTCAACGCAGGGGGCGGCCCTGCGAATAGTTGAAAAAATTTCCCATTTAAGGAATGTGAAATAAAGTCCGAAACGACTGACAGCCAGTGCTAATTTATCCGGTTCCGCTTGGAATGTTTGGCAATTGTCAAAGATTAGGGCGATGTCGTCGATAAACTTTAAGTTAAGAATCCCATCAACGGGGAGCAACTAAATATCTTTCAAGTCATGTTGAATGAACGCAGACGCCAGAACCTTGTCAATAAAAAATAAATAAGAATGGTGACAATGGGCATCCTGGACTCATACCACTAGAGGGCGGCGAGAGCTTGCCTTAAGCCCTCACTCTGCTCGAACTATGCACCAAGAGTGCTCCGATGATGTTTACCTACTTCTCACACATCTTTCCTAGGCAAAATATCCCAAAGATCACATCGATCCACCGACTCCAAAGCATATCTGATGAAGGAAGAGACGTCGAGGCCGGGTCAATAGCGTAGGTGATGCTACAACAACCGATGCAAAGTAGAGTTGTGATCAGTTCAGATTGGATTTTGACGAACTCCGAATCGCTCATTACGAGTCTGGCTTAAACGGTTGCCAGTCAGTCTAGGAAGAACGACAAAAGCAAGTATATTGGATGTGGATATGTATGTGCCACATTTCGTCGCGTACAGATTGAACAGATTCCTCGGACCCGTCCATGGATAGGTCTACAAGTAGAATGTATTTCAAATATTGGCATTGAGCTCAGCCGTGGGTAAGCGAGAAATGTGATCCAAAACGAGCGAAAAAAACTGAGCCTTCATAATTGTTGGCAGGCAACGGAAGCGAAGATCTTTAAATCGCAAGAGAAAAATAAGATGTACAGAGGTGGGCCGCTTAGTAAAAAAGGTCAAGGAATGCAAGTTGGCATATTCCGTAGACGAGTAGCTATTCTAACAGGTAGTGAGATAACAGTTGGGTACCGAAACGAACTATAGATGAGCCAGAGGACTCCAACTTGGATGGCAGTGGGTCTAAACAATTTTGGACCAGGTGGTCCAACGCAAGCACTGGCACATCAACCAATGAAACGACACAAAGTAGGAACGAAAGAAGAAGAAACTATCACACTTATTCGTTATAGACATAATAGAAAAATAAAGAAACGCCATATGAGATCGGTCCATGAAGGGAATATTAAACAATACTTCAACAACTTGCCCATATACAGTAACGATGGGGTTTTCCAGCCAGCTCAACTGTTAAAGTTGACAGTGGAACTAACCTCATCGCTTGCGTTAAGTATCCGAATCAGACCGTCAGCAGGATCTGCGCTGGCAAAATGGACTGGGCCCTCGGAACTGCACGTGATGCGTACTGATCCATCGGACGCAATTCCATTACGGAATCGTTTCTGATGACTACCAAAAGTGTTCGTGGCGTAAGAAGGCAAATCGACAGCATCCAAATCCACCTGACATTCGCGTAGGTCCAGCGGTCGCTTCATTCCTTGCTTAAACAAAGTCTTGGTGATCATGCGCTGGTCCGAAGATGTCAAACCGCATCTGACACAAAGAAAAAGTGAGCCGAGTAGATCCCATGATGTAACTCGTCGAGTGAGGAACATGGTACGGTTGTAGGAATGCAATCAGTTAGTCGCATGGGACTCAAATCGATGCACAGATAGCAGTGGACGCATAAAACGAGGGAAACACCTGAAAAGACTGTTCTAGACATAGCACACAAATCGGCTAGTTGGTTGCCGATTGGAATATCAAATGAATCCGCACATACCCTGTTACTGCATCGGAGAGGAAGATAAACATCAGTCTTCATGAGTGGGCAATCAGAGTGAAAGAGCCCCTTTCATGCTATCTATTTTTTCTTATGTGTTGTGGCACTCAGCTAATTGCATTGTAATTGGTATAGTGTTGAATATATATATATATATGTGTATACGAAAGAACAAGACTAACGGTGTCGGTTGAAGGAAACAGTAATAATAAGTTTTGATAACTGGAAAGCGAGCAAGTTTGTTTCGAGGAATATATGGTATGCAAACGCACATCACATCAACCTGGCAACCGGGAGAAACAAAGGGCAAGTCAAAGACCAAAGAAGGCTGAAATTATAAAGATAACGGAGTAGCTTTACCAATGGCTCCAGATGATAAGTTTGCGTTTCTGATGAACCGTCTCGAGTTTTCTGATTTACAACTGTTATCCATGTAAGATATGTGATGCATGCTCCTATTAGCAAAAAAACGTTCATAAAATACCCATAATGTTCGTTGTAAAACCAGTTTTAGCATACTTGGAGACATCATTTAGGTTCTAGTTTGCGAATTTTGATCAACCAAAGTAGTGTCTGATAGTTGAAAAGCTGGTTACACATCGAGCACTAATGTCTCCCAAAACGGACATACATGATATGCCTAGTCGGCTATGGAGCAAACAAAATATTGGGCTTTCGACTTTCAGTGGCACTGGTTACGCAAAGATAAATGGTTACGCCCAGTTACCTAACACTGGGTGAAAGCCGGATGTTCTTACTGAATCAGCAGCACCGGTTCATAGAGGCCAGTTGACTGAACAGGTCACGAAAAAAATGTTTTGCAAAACGCACATAGCTCAACAAAGTAAAAGTGGGTCTATGTTAATGGAAACGTGATCAAACGCACCGTGACTCCTCGGACTCTAGCAAGGACCGATACATCGCAATTTCAGTATCCAACTGAATTTTAATTGCGGCCAAATCATTGCATTCCCTGATTTTGTCGTTTAGCATATCCAGGGCGCGACGCAATTCATCACTCTGATGATCGGCGTCCATCGTATTCTGATTTGTGACTGAGTACAGACTGCGTTGCAGGTCATCTATCTTTCGCTGGGCCAGATCCAACTCAGAACGACATCGGATAAGATCGTTGGATGTGTCTGAGAGCTGCACCAAGGAACGGTCGAGCTCATCCGCGCTAGCTTTGGCACGTCGTTCAGCATCGCGTACCCGTTCCTTTTCAGCATCAAGTTTGACCTTTAAAAAGACACGTGCTTTTTACCATAATGAATCAAAAGGGGAAGCATTAAACACCTTTAGATACAGATGAATGAAATTTCTATTCTAACATTGGTTTAAATCGATTGAGTAGATGTATGAGCAAAGCTAAGACAAATAAAGGATGAAGTCTCGGCTGCAAACGAGTGCACTGAGTAGTCAAAAACGAGTCCGAAAAACGCAAACAGCTGAGAGATCAGATGACAACCGAAAATGAAATTGTCCCTTAATTGAGGTTAGCATAGGAAAAGAATGGAGGCCAGGATAAGTCTCTTATGAGCGTTCGTTGCTAGCTCAGCTAAAACGTTTTAGTCGGATGGGAGTTTTGTGAAAACAAATGCAAGTGGAATAAAAGCGGATAGGTAGCACTAAGCAAAAGATTCCATGGCGTCAAATGTAGCGCGTGGAGACTCCAAAAGTCAAGCCGCAGGGAAGAAACAAAACTAAAATGCATGCACTGGAAAAACCCAAATTTATTAAAGTATTCGTACACCATAGCAACGTGCGCAGCCAGTGATTTGCAGCTGTATGACACATAGGTGAGATGGAAAAGTGATGTCGCTTAATCCGTCGATAGCTCATGAACGTTGCCACCAGAGAATAACGTTGAGATAAGTATCCGTGGGGACGCAGAGAATCTAAAGGCAGATGTGCCAATCCAGGGTTCAGTGAGGAAGGCTGAAAACATGCAGCAAGTTGAAAGTCAGCAATGCATTCAACACAGAGTGGTATCAATTGTATCGGTCATGATGAATTCGGGTAGTTTGGAAGCAGTGGAACGTGCACAACCTAACGCACAGGCGAAATAGGTAATACGAATCCAAAGAACGAGATAACAAAGTAATTTCGCGTCAACAATGACCGCAAAAAGCAGGCCGTCTCGTAGTCCAATGATTGGTCAGCAAACTTCGCATGGAGAGCAGCCCAACATCAGCTAGAATGATCTGTGCTGTTGGGGGAGCAAAAGCGCAGTAAAGCAGTAAACATCGAAAAACCCGATAGATCACGACTGATGTAACGGTGTGATAGTAATATATAAAAAAGACGTCTACCGGAACATCCCCATTAAGATAGGACGTAACGCGGTGAAAATAAATGTTCCGTGAAAATCCTTTCAATCTATATCATTCGTGTACGAATTCTGTGCCAGAAGGCTAGTCATTACTCGATGGGTTGAATAACTGTAACAGGCATAAAACAACACAATTAATGCAGTGATATGTTAGGGAGTAAATATGGTAATTGCATACTGATCGCACTGGTTGAATCAGCAAGATTTAAACGATGAGCAAGAGGTGACCAGCAAACCTACCTCCATGTTCTGCTCCAGTCGTGACATGAATTCCTGCATCTGACAATGTGTCTCCTTGCGCAGCTCATCCAATTTGCTCTGCAGTTTGACTTGGTACTTCTGGACCTCTTTAGCGGCCGTCTGGACCTTAATTTTCATCGCTTCAGAGGAGAATGCTGCGCGTTCCTGGAAACGGCGTGAAACTCAGAGGTAAGCTAAATACGAAGCTGCGGCGATCGAGTGGGTCGCCAAATTGGTGTGCAACATCACAGATACGAGTTGGTCGGTTAATACTAAAGCAGAAACATGCAATTCTTCAATAAGTGTAGCAGCCGAAAATAAGCAACCGATAACCAAGTTGCATTGGTAATGGACACACTAAGGCTAATACCTAAGACAAAGAGGATCCCAATGCGTCTAGAGTAAACTCATATGCACGAAAATCAAACCACCGATGCACAGTTAATCTGTTTGGCCATCTAGCCCCAACCAAACCGACTAGTTCTCTATTAACGTATTGTTCTCTGTAAACTGCAGTGCAGATGAAAGATCGAATAGGGTCATCAGATGAGTAAATGCGCTGTAGGATAAGAAGTGAAACAAACAGTTGGGGAGTAGCTGCTGAAGCATAAACTGAAGATCGAAACAGGAGTCACTTGATTACGAAGTGACAATAAGATCAGGTATGTGCAAGGTGCAGCGATAGAGCCACGCTGGTAGATGTGTTGAGAGCACGGACATCTGTGATACGGATTCACCAGTTTCTGCAGACTAATAAATGAACATTAAGGTACGGGTCTAAGGCAGGATTCGTCAAATCGGTTGGCGGTGGCTGGAAGACTCCGACTTAAGTGACAAGATGCGCTAAATACAAGAGAGGATGGTAAAACAGCAGTCGGATCAAACGGGAAATGCTAGTTGTTAAAAGAAACCAAGACATCAGTAGTGAAATGATGTCGGCAAGGAAGTATAGACTTGGTGGGCTGTATTAAATCAGTGAGAAGGAGTGATGCACTTACAACGTTAAAGAAAACCCACGGAATTTTTGACCTACGACAATCAGACTGAGCTTACAACTTTTAGAATGTTGCTTCCAGTATCTATGTTTTCAAGGAATTAAGCCACCGATCCATGCCAGCCTAGGATGAGGATGTTGAGATTAGGTTTTTTCGATTTCCAAACAGTCCTCTGCAAATACGTGCCACAAAGAGTAGGGCAGTGGATCGCTGACGAGCGTGAGAGACCATTTCATGTTAAGTTACAGTTCCCTTGTGACGAAATTGCGAATCAGGATCACCAGCGATGAGAGCGCATCCGTGGAGAAGCATGAAGCGTGGTGCATTTTTCGGTCATTCCTGCAAATGGACACTACCATCAATAGTGGTACAGCAGCCAATTGAACTGGTGCGTCGAAGCCGCACAACATCAAAGAGGTAGGAAACAAAAAAAACAAGAGGGAGAGAATGGGCACCTAGCGCAAAACCTGAATGTCCGGAGAAAATATTCAGGTTCAAGGTGTCTACACTGTAGCAGCAACATACCGTCACAAGCACCTGGCTGTCGTGCAAAGATGCTGCATCAGTGGGACAGTGCATGCGACAATAATGCCCCGCGTCATAAGCAGCCATTACCTCGCAAATAACTCAGCACCAGACACACTTCAAACAGACAGTCAGACAAGTGGACGACTGCAGATACGTGACTGGTGCCGACCGCAAGCCATTACTGTAACGTCACGAGTCAAGCATAAGCCGGATCATGTGGACTCCAGTCTGGAAGGCGAGACGGACCGACAGCATAAAGATTCGCGTCAGTGACTGCATCTCCCTCTACCGAGTTAACTTGCAACCACCTCGCGTCGCAGATCCTCAGATCGAAGGGGACAAGCCCCACTATCATAGTGTAGGAGGGCCCTCACTGTGGCTTTGTAAATACGACGTTACAGGCGGAGAGAAATCCGTTTCTGTCACCAAAGGTCACGGGATCATCAAGTGGCTGGCAGTATTGCAGCAACACCTTTCCCTTTGAAGGTGCGAAGCGCAGATCAAATAATGGGATCTTTCTAGAGAGGCTATTCAGGGTTAACTGAACTGCCCTAACATCGTCAAACAGAAAGAAAATATCGTCTGCATAATCAAAATCAACTAGCTTCTCACCAAGCAGCACTTCAACGCATGCATCGTGACATTCCGCAAGGGAACACTCCATGATAGCCCGCGACGAGGCGGAACAAAAAAGGGGAAATAGGGTAACTGACAAACGCCAATTATTGACGGCAAAATATCCAACAAGTAACCGTAAACCCTAACGCAAATTGGAGTGTTGAAATAAAGGGTACATAAGTTGTTCAAATATTTCGTGGAAACACCATTTGCGTAATTAGTTTGAACAAAATGGATCGACCGACTGAGTCGAACGTACTCTTGAAGCTCAGGAACACAGCTACTGTCGATCTGCGGTACGTGTGACACTGCTCTAGCACCAGTGCCAGGGTGAATATATAGTCCATACAGCACCATCCTTGGCGCAATCCTGCTTGATTTTCCTTAATCCAGGATTCCGGTTCCGCTATGAGGTGTCGAACGTGGATTTCGGCTAGTAGTAATGTCACAACTGACAATAAACTAATACCCCAGTTGGCAACACAGTCAGCGTGACTGCTCTTGTATATTGCCACTATAATCGATCTACTGAGTCAGATGGGAAAATCTCTTCCACTCAAACCTGATCGAACAGGGAAGTCAGTGCTTTGCAGAGGACCTCACCATCATCTTTAAAGGTTGCCAGCACGAAGGAATCCATGCTGTGATCGTATTTCGACCACAGCCTCCGATAGAATCATAAAAATAACTGCATTTGGCTCAGCCTACACTAGATGAATGGGAAGGGGTCCGGAATCAAAGGACTAACTAAACTGATTACGAAAATGCTCCGCACAACAAGCCATACGGCACTCAGTATTGTGAATCACGGTACCCGTTCTGTCTCTGATTGCATACCTAATGTCTAGTTTCTAGCGACCAGTGGTGTGGATCAATTAGAAGAAGATGCGATAATTGCCCACTGCTCCCGCCTCCTCAAATTATTAGCTCCAGTTATCCACCAGGCTTCCTTGTCAGCACACAAGTTGTGCCTCAGTAAGTGTATAATAGTCCGTCTGGTTACGTTGTGCACAGAGCCATCCGGGAGTATTCTTATAGAATCCAACAGGTTCACAGAGCTCCCGGATATTCAGCATCTGCTGCGGTGACGATTGATAATGCTGCAAGCACATGCTCCTGCATCTCGCATGATAGCCGAGATACTGTTCCAGAGAATTATAACATCAAAACGAGAAAGCAAAAGTTCGTTATGCAGTGCGTCGTAGTAGTCTTGCATGACTGAGGAATAAGGTCACTTCCCAGTTGCCAAGCGAGAGAGACGCTTGGAACGTCTACCAGTAAGCTTCATGGAAAAAGGATAGCGAACCAAGGTATGGCCAGAGTCCACGCAAGTACTCCAGAAACAGCGACATTCAAGGACGAGAACGTGATCGATTTGGCTTCATCGCTGGCCAGCTACAGGGGGACGCCAAGTGGCATTTCGGCGCCCACTGTGTTTAAAAGCAGTGCTACTAAGGAACAACCGGTGCATGCTACACAGCTGGAGTTAATAACATACTCACCATATACCTGAACTTCTAGACAGTTTAGACGACCTACTTGCGGATTCACAACTCCTAAAACAACGGTATCTGAACTGGTAACACTGAGGAATAACGTGTCCATTTCGTGGTAAAATGTGGCTTTGGCAGCATCAGAACTGCAGTCGATGGGGGCACAAGCGGAAACCACAAACGAACAGTGTCTAGTGCCACTTCGGGAATCAACCTTACTTGATATCGTCAAACGGACTGCACACAAACGGTTTTTCACAGGAATCCAGTCAGCCAACAGTGACTCAGCCTTGGAGCTGAGGACGATGACCACTCCAACCTGAACAGCGGTTGTCGCATCAGCGTCTCCGGATGCGCGCAACCAACAGCGAGAGGACAAGCCGGGCGCGATTAATCCGACAATCCGTGCGGGTCATTGATCCTAATTTCGGACGCGCAACACATCAACACCCAGGGTGACCAATGTGCGTGTGAATGCAGCCTGTTAAGCTATTTCTCTTAGTGCGGACGCTGAGCGTCGCCGAGGAAACGGGACAGTGTGGTATTATAAGTGGCTGTTGCCGGTGGACGTTCTGGAACATGTCTGTGGACTCTGACCGTACATTTGACCGCTTCCGCCTTTCTATGAGTTTTACTGGGAGGCGAAGTGACTGGTTCATCCAGGTGGACATCTGTATCTCCTCTAATGGCCCGATAACTTGGGATTATAGCACGCACCGACAAGACTACAAAAAAACTTCCGAAGTGGAGTCGTTGGTCAGGATGCACAACGTCGCTGTGTACAGAGCTTTTCACTGTGTATCACAAACTTAGTTATTGCGCGTAAGGAAGCGAAAAAGATGTGTTGTCATTAATCGCCGACGTCTACGAAAAAAAACATGCGGTGAGGACACCGACGGGGTTCGCAAGTCAGCGTTTTTATGAAGCCGTGAATCATTTACAGAGCTAATATTTGATTGCAGAAGTTTCCTCACCAAGCGAAGTAGCATCTTCAATGAGCAACAGCGAGCAGGTTGTTAGTAATTTTGAGCTATGAACTCCTCATAAATAATAGTAATAATAATAATACGTATATTTTTCTTGATACGAGAAACTGTGTCTGTAGCGGCACAGATCAAATTGTACAGAAGTATGCACGCTCTTGCATGGTCGACATGCATAGGTGAAATATTGGGGTATGCGTTTCATGTAGTAACGTTCTGACGGATAGTTAAGGCCAAAGTCTAGTTTTGAAAACATAGGTGTTTGGATGTTTGGTTCCCTCTTGGAATAGCTCATCGAGGGATTTTTCCCATGTGAATATAGAGTATAGGGTAGTTAGATCAATGTTGCCACATTGTCACATGCCCCGAGTGTTACTGGTAGTTTATTCCACAGATAGCTGTACCTGACCAGGAAGAAATTAGAGCGGACGTTCGTTCTGGCTTTCGGTATATACAATGTAAAATCTTGGATGTGAAGCGCTCGATTTGAGCAATGGAAATTGAGTGTAGACAGGTTGGAATAGGTCTTTTTGTGTAACATGTTGAAA